AGACGGGCGGGAGAGCTGTCAGCGGGGTGAAGGAATGGGTCCTGCAGAGGATACTGGGTGCACAGCCCCATGCCGAAGACTCACCGAGCCAGGCCGAGGGCTGGGTACTGGGTCAGTATAGCGGGCCCACTTCTGGGCCTGCTCGCTGTACTCTTTGTAGGGGCCCTCGAACACCTGTTGGATCTGTTCCAGCTGGTACTCACAGACTGCTGACAGGTCCATGTCGCCCCTGTTACAGCAAAGGAAGGACCTCAAAAGTCAGGTCTGGTACTTCCTTGCCCACACCGTAACCCTGGCATCAGAGGAAGCACTATAAAGGCAGGGCTCAGTATAGAGTAGTCATTGCCATAAGGTGGCTCTGAGGTGTCACCTGAGGCGGTTCCTGCTCCCCACCCCCCTCCACAGAGCTTTAAAAAGACCAGAATGATCTTGGCTACCAGGACCGACCCGCTGGACCTCCTCCAGAGGCCTGTGCAAGCCTCACGCCCACATACCACCCCCAACCTGACCGCCACCTGCTCCTCAGAGCCCCAGCCACCCCAGAGCCACTTACCACCGCGCTTGAAACACCCCAAAGAAGGTGGTGTTGTGCCAAGAGGTACCCAGCAGGGTGTGCACCGCCCGGAGCTGGTTGAAGTACACCTTCCACTCCGGGGCTGAGCACACCAGCTGTGCTTTCAGGAACGTCGTCCACTTCTTCTGCAGGGTCCGGGCACCCCCCATGTCGCCCTGGTGGATGGCAAGGAGACACGGCTGCTTAGCCCCTGCCCAGCCCTCGGGGCTCCCGCCGCCCACCGCTGCAGAACTTGGTACCTTACAGACGCGAGCCACGCGAGCCACCACCTGCTCGGCGTAGCAATCGTACTCCACTGCCCGCTCGCTGAAGAAGAAGTAGACCTTGTCATCGTCCCCCGTGAAGCTCCCCACACTCTCAGGGACATAGGCAGAGCCTACGAAGTGGGGTTCTGGGGCAAAGCAAGGAGGGTCAGTGGCAGGGTGCCAGGGCCTCTCAAGGCCCTTCCACTCTTGGCTTCCCCAGTCCCACTCCATAACACACCATTTAGCCAAAACGCCAGGTACTCGGTCTTGATGGAGTGGTGGGGCCCCATGTTCCGCAGGATAACAGGCTCGGTACCCAGGAAGTTGTTGAGCGTGGCTGAGAACAGCTCACCATCTGCGGATAGGAGACAAACGGCGGGTCAACCAAGCTAGAAAAATAAGGTTCAGACAGATGTACTCTGGAGACAAGCCAACCAAGTCCCCGAAGATTCGCCCTGTCCGTACTGGAGGCCGCCACTCACCCACAAGGAGTCCAGTGTGGCCCTTAGCTGGGTCATAGGGACATTTCCCCTTCCCGTCTTCAAATTCTCCACGCTCCAAGGTGAAAGTGAGCATGTCCTAGGAGCAGGAAGATACAGAAGACAGGCATTAATACAGGGGCCTACACGGCCTGAAAAATCACGGTCTGGGAGTACAAGCAAGGAAGTCACAGAAGTCAGGGACAGGAGGGTAAGGGGCACACCCAAAGAGGGGGGTAACACTCACGATGTAGGTGCACTTGGGCTGGAAGGCATAGGTACCACAGACGTACAGGTGGGAGGCATTGTATGGCTGAAGGAAGCGGATGAAGTTGAAGCACTCGGTCTTCAGAGAGAAAGGTATACAAGTTAGTGAGAATGGAGAGGCGGGGATACAGCATCACTAGGGTCCAGACAGGAGAGCATTCCACAAAGGCCTGGCAGGGGAAGTGCCCTGAGAGCCCACCTGGTTGCTCTTCCCTTTCTGGGTACACTCAATCTTCTTCTCAGCCGGGGCCTCCCAGGAGATCTGAGGACCGGAAAGGACACATCAGAGATGTCACAGGCACATGGGAAGTGTGTGCTACAAATACAGCTTGAGCTACGCCGTGGGGGCCACCTGGTCCCCATTCTGACACAAGCCCCAAACCTATCCCACCTCGAGGAACCCAGAAGGGGAGAGCAAGTGCTAATCCTGATACCAAGAGAGACCTCCGGGCTGTGGGGACAGCCTGCCCAGGCCACACACCCCCAGTCCTGTGTGCCTCCCGCTGCCCCACCTCTCACCACGCCTTGCAGCTCCAGAGCCTCTACGCTGAAGGCAAACAGCGCCTCTCGAGCCCCCACATATAAAAGCCCAGAGTGCTCCCTCAGGGTCAAGGTCAGGAAGTCCTGGATGCCCGTCTGGGAGAACCGCCTCACTACTGTGGCCAACTCTGTAGAAACAGGGACAAGAACAAGGTAGGAATGAGCAAGGGGTGAGTGGCAGCCTCCCCGGGGTTCCAGGAGTCCCCTACATCAATCTTCCTTTGTCCAAAGGTCCCCTGGGCCTCATCATCACTGCTCTCCGCAAAAGCTAGCACCACACACACAGACGACAGCCAAACCCCTACTGGCCATAAAGGACTTTTTCTGAATAGACCTGGACTTAATAGCTCCACCCTCCCCGGGCTTCCGAAGCCCCTCTTCACGGTCTGGGAGGAGGCAATCTGGGCTGGTAAAGGGGAAGGAAGGATATCTCAGCCAAAGCTTCCGGCCAGAGGAAGCCATCTGACTGATGTGAGGGCTCTCACTCAGGGTCAGCGGTACCTCAGGCACAGAGTCGGGCGCTTCCCCCGCCCTGGCCTCCTCAGCTCCCATTTCCTCCTTTGCTCTGCTACTTGCTGACCACATCAGGGTCCAGCAGACCCTGGCAGCAGAGCCAGGGGGGCAGAAGGCACAGAACAGTTGTGAGCATTCCTTGTCTAAGAAGCCATTTACGCCAGCAGGCGCCTGTCCAGGCTTCAGGAAACGCAAGCACAGATGGGTAGGGGGCTGGCAAGGTGGCACGTGGGGAAGGGGAAAGAAGTCAGGACTGGGAGGGCAAGGGGACCAGAGACTCAGAGATCTGAGTTGGTGTTGAAGCCTGAGAAGCTGTGCTGCCGTCCGGCACATGTAGCGCTTGATCACACATCTGTCAGAGGACCACAGCTCTGTCCCCCTGCCCACAGGGCCCACACTTAAGCCAGCTTCAGTCTTTGGAGGCAATGACCAGCCAGAGCTGGGTCGGCACGGGAGGGGCTTCATTAGCAGCTGAGTGCAGCCTGTGGGAGGTGAGCTCATCCCATGTCCCAAGAGCCCATGGATGATACAAACACCTGACATCACCTCTCCATACAGGTGTGTGTGCAAAGGAGCGCTGTCTGCTCGGCTCTGCCTCCTCCCCCAGCAAGCACAAGCACTTATATACACCCACCTAGAACCACCAGGCGGCTCCAGTGTTGGGGCCCCGCAGGGGAGGACCATTTGATGAATTAAGGGGCTTCTGGGGACAGTCAGCTAGGAGGACTGGAAATGGGGTTAGGCTTACACTTGCCCTAGAACTTGGGGTTCATGTTTCTCTCTCTAGGCTTCCAAGCACTAGTGACAATTCAAGTGAGGAACAGGGAGGGTGACCCCGAAACTACCTCCCTTGCACACCGGGACAGCCAAGTCTGGGTTGGGGTTGGGCGTGGAGATGGTGGTAAGAGATCCCAAAGAGTTATCCCAGCGTCAGATGGGGGCAAATCCCAGGTTCTGACCTGCACTACCAGTTCTGGGTCCCTGGGGCCACTCGCATTTCTTAGAAAGCCACAATCACACCTATCAGTATAAAGTATGCATGCTTGGGGGGATAATTTTCTCAGCAGCTGCTCCTTCCTTCAGCAAGCAACCCCTTCTTCCCCCCAGCAGTCCGTTCCTGCCTCCCTCTGGCCCTGCCTCCCATGCTTCAAGCACTCACCCCCAGAAGATACTGTCTTCCGGGGCACAAGGTTCCACCACACCTCAGCCCCAATGCCCAGGCCCCACAGCCCTGCTGCCAGCAGCCAGACAGCCCAGTGCTGGGCCATGGCAAACACCCGGGCTCTAAAACTTCAGTCCAGCAGCCCTGCTGAAGGAAAAGAAACTGGTCAGCATCACAGACCGGAAGGGGGCCCGCACCAAGAGACGTGCCGCACAGGGCGCACATTTGAACACAACTCCCCTGGAGCTCCTGGAGCTTCCCCTGCTCCCTTTTTTGGAGCAGACCTAGTTTCAGCAACTGGCCTCTGCCCCCAGGGGCCCAGGGGGTCCCTTCCAGAGGGGCAGGGAGGAGCTGAGTCAGCAGGCACTAGGCGTGGGCAGTCATCAAAAAGCCTTCTATGGCCTCCAGGCCATCCCTACTCCCTCTTAACAGGGAGTTGTGCAGAAAAAATAAAAAGGGGCTCCCCTCCTTTTCCTCCTTCAGGTCTAAAAGGTTTTGGAATAATCTTAAGAAACAGGACCTGCTACCTGGACTCTGGCCAGGCCCAAGACCTAATTCGGGGAGGTATACCCCTTATTCGGCAGAGGCAAGCAGGCGGTTGGGCAAAGACCCCCAGTGGGGGACTTGGTGCAGCCGCCTGCGTGCAGAGTTCCCGGCCCCAGCCTGTCCCCTCCCCCAGCGCAGACAATAGCCGGGCAGAGCCCAAACCCGGTTCCACATCAGCAGGGCTGGAGTAGGAGTGGGGCCGGGAACCAAAAGGGCCCAGCTTCCCGAGGCCCCTTTGTTGCCCAAGAGGGAGGCAGGAAGTGGGTGGGATGGGCGTGGAAATGACCAGGGCCAGTCCTGTTCTTCCAACAACCTTCTACGAGACAGTGACCCTCCATCAGAGAGACGGCGGGGCAACGAGTCGGCTTAGGGCGTATGGGGTTCTCCTCACCGCGACGGGAGCGGAATCGTGGAAGGAAGTGAAATGGGTTTGGGAGGCCAAAGGGGGTTTCTCCTGGAGCACCGGGGATGCCCACGAATGGCCCTTGAAGGCTGTGTGTCCCCCCCCCCTTCCCCACCCTAGCCACTCCCCGCCCCTCGGCTCTGACGAACGTTCTTAACTCGGGGATTGCACCCCGGGGACCCTGGCCTAGGCACTAGGCCAACGTGACTGATTTTTACTAATCCAGACGCTCCGGACCGGGAACAGAGATGCAGAATCTGGAAATTTCACCCCAAAACAAAGGTTCCAAGCCAAGACCCTGTCCAGGTCTCCCTACTGTGGGCTCTCCCCTCCCCCAGCTCCGAGGATTTGAATGCAAACAAAGCAGTGGCGCTGGGAGCGTGGCAAAACCAAGCTTGAGGACGCCCCCTGTCGGCCCAGAACCCCTGCGCGGGAAGGCGGGGTGGGGGTGGGGGGCTGGGGCTGCCTTCCCCCGGGCAGTCCCCCTGACACACCCTCAGCTTCCCCTCTACCAATTACCCTACGCTGGGGTCAGAACCCGGTGGCGTGCTCCGAGAATCCGCCCGCGTTTCATGACCCAACCCCCAGCTCTTTCCAAGGCAAGGGTCGCGGACAGCCAGGGGGATGGAGAACCAGGATTTGCGCCACACTTGCACACACGGAGCAGCAGATCGTGGATCGCAGCGCTCCAGCGCGGGACCGTGCGGCTAAACTCGGATGAGGGGGCTGGTTCTCAAAGCCAGCCCGCCTTCCTAGCAGAACAGGAGGGCGGGGGGCCGCGCTAGGGAAATCCGATCCCACAACATCGGCCACGGTCCAAGCCCGCCCCAAACTTTCCTTCGAGGTGGGGGAACCGGAGCAGCTCGCGAATCTGGCAAAAATCCGGACCGCGCGCCGGACAGCCCGAGGGTCTTCCACTGCCCCTAGCTCCGCACCCTAAGGCGCCCGCCGATCCGGCCACTGGAGCTGCAGACACAGCTTGCCTTACTGCTGATCGTCCGCTGGGCAGCCCGCGGAGGACTCGGTAGGGACCCGGATCGGACAGCTGTCTGCGCTGCCGCCCCGCCCTGCACCCCAGACGCTGTACCCTCGCGTGCGCGCCGGCCCCTACCCGAGCCGTGGGGACAAAGCAGCAGCTCTGGAGCCCCAGAGCTCTGGCCTCACTCACCTCTTCCGTGCAGCTCGAATCCCTGGGCGCCGCCCTCGCGTTCGGCTCCGGCCACGGTCCTCCCCTACCCCCTCGCCGTTCCAGCCCGCGTGTGCCCGCCAGCACGCTTAGGCTGTCTCGCGCTATCGCCCCTCGGTCCCAGCACCGCTCTCGGCGCCCCTGAGCTCGGGGTCCGTGCTCTACCGCGCCGGGCGCCGGTTCTTTCTCCGCTGCTGCCGCTGCTCTCCGCCCCCAACCCCCTGACGTCAGGCAAGGAGGGTGTCGAGTGGTGGCCGGGGGCGGGACGCGAAGGCCCGCCCAGGAGGGGGCTGCGACCCGCAGCCCTTGCTTGCCCAGCGCTGAGGCTTGGGGACCCTTGCGACTCTGGCCTCCCCGGAGTCAAGGTCTACGCCATGGCGCCCGGAGGGAGGGGTGCGGGGAGGGACTCCAGGCATTGCCACCGGGAACCACACTCACCTGGTCTTCCCGAAGTGTGCCTTCAAGCCTTGCGGCGGGCTGGGCTCAGGAAGGACTGAGGGGTTCCCCCCACGCTCCAGTTACAGGAACGAAAGCTGGCAAGCCATTTTGGGATGCGTATCCGAAGGGAGAAGAGCAACGGAAGAAACTGAAGGTTCTCTAAGGGGCTAACCACAGTGGTCAGTCTTTTGACCCCGAAATCGTTCTTCTTTCTGGCCCTAACCCTTAGGCTGGTAGGAGCGGCTCACAGGCAGAGAAGACCCCCAAGTCTCCAGGTTGCTCCTTGTTTCCAGGCTCCAGCAGAGCCTACCACCAGGAAATGATCCCTGGTACCACTTGAAAGGTTGATTAACAAGTGGCATGAGCCCTTCTGTTCAGATGAAAGGGGCTGAAGGGAGCCGCGCTGGGAACCACTACCACCTTCAGAACTGCCAGCCTCCACCCACAGCCGCTCCTAGATAACTTGTAGCTTTGGCCTCCTGGGCCCTGCTGGATGGGCAAGTCCTCTTTCCAGCCAGCTGGCCCTCACGCTAGGCAGCTGGAGAGAACCTTGGGGAAGCTGCTTCACCGGTATCCGGAGACCACCCCTAGCCAGAGTTAAAGGACAATCGGGAATGAAAGGAAGTCGAGGCCAGGAGACTTCTGTGGTAACTTTAAGCCCCTGGGGCAGTCCTAGAGAGAAGCAACACTTTAGACCCCCATCAGCAGATCTGGAGTGTAAATCAGTCCGACAGCAGCCTTTATTCTGGGCTAAAACTTGGCATCTGAAAGTGGAGACCAGAAGGGCAGTGGGGATAATGAAGAAAGGCAGCCCAGTTGGGTTTCAGTAACAATTGAGTCTTTGCTGGGACACAGAATGGCCCCTTCTCCCTCACTGGCCAGAGCCACATTTCCCAGCTTCTTTCCAGTAGGAAACAAAGCTGGGGCCTTGGAGATAGGAGGCAGGCCAGCTACTATCAGGGGTGGGCAGGGAATGTGCCCTGTTAGAGCTGGCCAGAGATGAACCATGCAGGCCCCTCCTCTTGGTCAGCCTCAGTTTCCATCTAAATAAGGGTAAGCTGCTACACAGACTTCCGGGCTTCTGTGCTGTTGTTCTGTGCCCCTGGCTTTAGAACCTGCTGTCAAATTTCCTCAGGCCATGCTCAGGACCTTTACAGACTGGGTATCCTCAGCCCTAGGAGGCTGACGCAGGACTTCCAGGCCAGTGACTGTTTCTCTCGTCTTATCAGAAAGATTAAGCAAGATCTAAAACTGACTCAAATTCACATAAACAGCAAGGTAAAAATTGTGAATGGGGCCTTGGAGTGATGGCGGGAGCCTGTGGTCCCAGCTGCTTGGGAAGGCGGAGGTAGGAAAGTTTTGAGCCCACGAGTTCATGTCCATGTCCACCCTGGGCTCCCTAGTGAGACTCTCAAAAAAAAGGAAGTTGAGTTCCGTGATTCCCATTCCTCTTTCTAGCAGTCACCATGCACACCGCTAATGCTCCACTTCCTGTTGCTTTTCTCTCTCTCCTCTAAGTCTTCTTGCCCACCAGGAAGGAGCGCTGCTGGGCAGTGACCTGAGCTCCCTGGCTCTACCTCCACGGTGGCCCCAGTGGAAAGTTTCAAAAGGTTTGGGTTTCACTGGCAGGGACAGCATTCTGCACCTTCATGGCAGGCGTCAGGGTCTTCTAAGCCAGGGATGGAGGTGGAAAGAAGACTGCTCTAGTAACGGCCAGAAAGCCCCTCCCTGCCAGGCTCCTCACCATAGGGCTCCACCCCCCACCTCTGCGCATTCCCTGCCATGCTCGGTTTACCGCCTTGGGTCTTCTCCACAGGTGGGTGGGCAGAAGATGAAGTTTCCTGCATGACTCTTGCTCGTGATTCATGCTTTTTAATAAAAGGACAGCTGGCAGAAAAATAAGGATTCTGGATCTTACATCAAGAAAAAAAAATAGTAACACTAAAAAAAAAGAAAAGAAAAGAAGAAAGAAAAAGAAAAAAAAGATAAGGCTAGGGGCTGGAGAGATGGCTCAGTGGCTAAGAGCATTGCCTGCTCCTCCAAAGGTCCTGAGTTCAATTCTCAGCAACCACATGGTGGCTCACAACCATCTGTAATGAGTTCTGGTGCCCTCTTCTAGCATACAAACATACATGGAAGGAATGTTGTATACATAATAAATAAATAAATCTTTAAAAAAAAAAAGATAAGGCTACATAGCTGTGTAATCTCCCTAGGCCTGCCCAGCATAGCCTATGGAAGGCATCACACCCTGATCCTTATTCCAGCCTGACAGAGCAGACCCTGCTCTGTGCCCCACGCCCCTTTTGCTATAGCTTAAATGCTTGTGGTCAACTAAAGGAAACAAGACAAGTTAAATGCCCACCCTCCTGGACCCACTGAGTTCAAGCTGACCTTTGTAGAACCCAATATTGGTCATGAAACACAGTACTCCACTTCTTACCAACCACCCTTCCCGAGCTAAGTGGCAAGAGGAAGGCCCAAGCCGGGCGGTGGTGGCGCACGCCTGTAATCCCAGCACTCGGGAGGCAGAGGCAGGCGGATCTCTGTGAGTTCGAGGCCAGCCTGGTCCTACAAAGGGAGTTTCAGGACAGGCTCCAAAGCTACAGAGAAACCCTGTCTCGAAAAAAAAAAAAAAAAAAAAAAAAAAAAAAGAGGAAGGCCCAGAGTGTACACTGGGGGGTCTCTAGTCAAGGCCTCCTTGAACCTGGACTGTTTCCAAGGTAGCCGGAAGTCTCCCCACAGGTGGGAGAATGAGAAGACTGGGGTGGGCCATCTTTCGAGGAGCTCTCTGTGACCCAGGGAACTGGGACATAGGAAAAGGACTTCCTTGGTCTACTTCCTCCAAAGGGAGAATTATCAAAGCTGTCCACCTGGGGAGCCTTTCCCTTCCCAGCCCCTCCCTTCCAGCATCACCAAAAGGAAGCAGGAAAACATCCGTCATCACAGCCCAGGATACTGCTTTTCCAGCGGCTTCTACCAGGATATCCCCTGCCTTTTCCCAGGGGCTTAGGGTCAAAAACCTGGAGGGCAAATGGTGAAACAGCTTCATTCCACAATTCTTGGCCTGGAAGAGGCTCCGTTTCCAACTGATCCTGACCCAGGGTTGGTCAGCGCCCAGTCAGTCCCAGAGCAGGACAATTACATGACCCAGGGGACAGTGTCCACCCTTGATTGACCTTACATCGCATACCTCTGCTCAGGTTACAGCAGCCTTCTGGGAGGGACTGAGAAGTCCCCAACACTGTCTCCTCCTCTCTGCTGTATCTATTTCTCTCTCAGGGATGGGTATGTTTGTGGAGTAAGGAGCCAGGGAGGACTCCAGACGTCTACACTGACATCTGGACACTTTGATCCCTTTTCTTAAAGCCAGGTAAGGGCAGCTTCAAGAACTGGAAACTCCCCAGTTCAGCCTCTTAGGTCTTCCTACCCCCTCTCTGCCCTTGGCAATGAGAACAAAAGAGGGAGATTTCAAGGTGATTTCCAGGTTTCCAGAGCAAACCCAGTTACTGAGGATTAACTGCCAGGATGTACAATGTCAAGCAGCGGTGCCCAGAGGCAGGGTGAAACGGGCTAGCTCTCCAAAGTCCCTGCCTGCCTGTCAGAGAGCTGAGGATGACCTGCTTACTCTGCTGCTGGGGTGTGAGGGTTTGCCACAGGTTCACGTGATGCAGCCAGGAAGAGAAGCCAGAACTATCAGTCAAATCACTGGGCATCCAAGTCACCTGGCTCTGAAAGGGCTTCTTCCACTTCTCATTTGGCAAAAGCTTTGAGACAGAAAAGATGTCCTCTGTGGTACCCAGTACTGTGCAAAGCCTGTGCCCTGTCTCTAAATAATAGATGTCTCTAGCTCCTGGCCTTCAGAGGACCCAGAGAGGGAGGTACTTGTGTCTGAAACAGGCCTAGAAAGGTATGGGCTTCACTTTAGCTATGTTCTCTCTCTCTCTCTCTCTCTCTCTCTCTCTCTCTCTCTCTCTCTCTCTCTGTGTGTGTGTGTGTGTGTGTATCACCTGGTCAGCCCCTAATCCTGGAAGATATAAACAGGGAAAACTGTATGCAACAGCCATGGGGAAGCTCCAAGGGCCATCAACTGAGACATGAACACAAGTCAGGTTGGCGGGAGTCATCCTCTGCTGCCTCCTGGCCCCCTCTTCTACCTGTTGCAAAGCTCACTCCAACTATGAAAGTGTCAGAAGGGTCCAAAGATGAGCATGGATTTTGTCAGAGGAGTGGCCAGATAAGAAAATAAATAGGGGATAGCTAGGGGGCCGCTCCTGGAGATACAAACGGGCCCACTCACTTCTCCAGGGGTCCAGGTCAAAGATATCCAGTTATACAGTTAGAGGTTACGACACAATGAAACTGACCTGGAGGCAAGGCCATGGAGAGCAAAAGAAGGATCCAGAAGTGTCTTTGGGACCCACCCCCACTTCTAAGTCTAAAGAGTTGATTTCACAGCTCAACAATAAATTGAATTAAGCATAATTACAGCCCTGATCCACCATACTTTCTGTATAGTGTCCCTAGCAGGGGCGGGGTAGTCCCAGACAGGATCCAGACAATGGTCTTTCATCCAAAAGTGCCAGGCTCCAGCAACCCTGGTCACAGTGTGCTGGCTCCAAGTTATAGAGTCAAGTGGCGGAGGTGGTTCCTAGGCCCCAGTTACATGACTGCCAGAGGTGAGAGCAGTGGCTGGCTCACGCAGAGGCAAGGCATCAGGTTAGGTGCTGGGCATGAGCCCTCGGGATAAGGATTTAAGGAGGGGAAACCACTGGTGCTGAAAAGAAGACTTTAATGTGCACAAAGGAACCCCATATTAAGGATGGACAGCGAGAACAAGATACAGTGTGTAGATGTGTGGGAAGAGTGGCCAACAAGGAGGGCCCAAGAGGCCCAGAAAGCCAGTGCTATAGAGACAAGACAGAGACAGCTGAGCAAGCAAGCGTGTTTAAGTGCGGGGATGGTCAGGGAGACGACCTCCAGTGGCAGTAGGCTGGCTTCACCAGGCTGGGCCTCCCCAACCTCTGTTCTTTACCTCCTACAGTTCTCCTCCTGCTGGATCCAGAGCCTAGAGTCACTTTGCCATTATCCCTTTAAATATCTTTCCAAAGGTTGAAGTACTGGCCCTGTGAAGAAGAAGAAAGCAGCTTGTAATGGCCTGGCCCCAGTACTGTCCTCTATGCAAAGGCCCCTGCATTGGTGGTGTCCGTTCAGCATCTTCCAGAGAGAACTCCATGGCAGGTGTCTTAGGGTTCCAAGACCGGATACAGTGGGTCAGCAGGCCTAGGAGGCTCAGCCAAGGTCCTATCTCCTACTACTGTGGGCCCAAGGAATATGGGAGGAAGATGAAATCTGTGCACACTCAGTCAGGCTCCAATCACTCTGCTTCTTCTTTATGACAAACAATGCTTCCCACCAGCCGCCAGTGGATCAGGAGAAGGTCTGAGTTCCAGCTTTCTTTTTCTCAGGGACTTGCGAAATTTGAGCACCAAGCCACAGCCTGTGGCCAGTGTGTCAGCCTCAAGTCAGGGGTGAGAGGGAATTGTAAGGGAGGGGTCAAGGAGAGGCGAGCTGGGAACAGGGTGTTCAGCTGTTTCCATTAAGGGCTTGCTCAGGGCCAGCCCAGCAGGGCATGCTTAGTGGAGAAATGGAGGGGGGGGGTGCCTAAGGGTGGAAGGGAGTGTGAAGATGGAGACTGCTTTGTGCCAAGGAGTGATACTGGCCTCGAGCCCTGATTTTCACATTCACTCAAGCTGCCTACATGGTGGGGCAAACTATTGACCCTCTGGAGTCTCTAGATACAGCTCATCTGTAAAACTGGCGACTAACAATCCCTGCTTCCTGAGGTCTTCAGGTTCCGGTAGAAAAAGATCTTAACTCAGTAAACTTTAGCTAAAATGTTACTACCTGGACTAGTTGAGACAATTCCAAGAACAAAACTCTCTCCTGTGGAGTGGGTGCTGCTGCTGTGGTTGTGGAGGGCAATAGGGCATTTGCTTAGCATTAGTACTGGGTTCAAGTACTAATCACTCTCCCCTCCCGCCCCCCACCGCAAACAAAACAAAACAGAGCAGCCTGGGAAATGTTCTTAACAAAGCAAGAAGCCAGCTGAGGTCCACAGGACGAGTGGACAGGAGGTGGACAGCTGTTGCCTGCGGTGTCCCTTCCTGGCTGGTCATATCAAACTGGGATTGCTCAGCTCTCCAGGGCTGAGCTTCGCTTTGCATTTGTTCACAGACAGGCTCCCTGTGTTCCCTTCTGCATCCCCTCCCCGGGCCCTGGATTAAGAACGAAGGTCCCCTGAGACATCCCCACTCTCCACCACACTGCCCACTCCACCCTCTCCCTTTGGAGTCCAGCAGCTGCAGCGGGGGTGGATGGCCTGCTGGATATGCCAAGCCCCACCGACTGACCACTTCCCTTCCCTCCCAGGTCTAGGGGATTATAGGACACCACCTGGGGCTGACAGTGAGCCAGCAGGTCCTGCCAGCGGATGTAGGTCTGGGTGGCCAGGTCCTTGAGTTTGGTCCGGTGCATGGCCTGGGGGCTCTCCCGGATATGGGTGCTGATGTGGCGGTCCAACTGCATGCACAGCAGCTGCAGCTCACCCTGAAGAGGAGGAGGAGGCGGGACATGAGCCAGGCATATTCCGGAGGCCGGGGCAAGAAGGAGAACTAAGTCAGAAAGGGAGTGATTCTCTGAGTGACTGCTGCCAAGCTGGGTAGGAAAGGGAGGAGAGGGGAAGGGCAGATTCTGGGGGACAGGTCAGCATCCCTTGGGGAAGGCTTTTGGGACATGGTGGGAGAAAGAGGCCCTGGCAGCCCTTGCCACTTTCTTCTTGGCCTCTCATTCTGCAGTTCCTGAAAGAAGACTGGTTCCACGCTGGTCGCTGTGGCCCACAGTGCTTGATACAGTAGCTACTACTGGGTACCCAATCCTCTCCAGCCTCTTGGGAGACTCACCCATTGATCTGGAGTAATATCCTGGCTGCTGACCACCACCCCAGCCAGTGTCAGGAGGCTGTGGCACAGATAGCAGACCTAAAGAGAGAGCACAAGGATGCTTTCTTAACTCATCTGAGCCTGTGAAGGTTCCTTGCGCGCAGCACACACAGCAGCTTCCAGAAAAGCATCTTTCTTTCTTTTTTTTTTTTTTTTTTTTTGAGACAGGGTTTCTCTGTGGTTTTGGAGCCTGTCCTGGAACTAGCTCTTGTAGACCAGGCTGGTCTTGAACTCACAGAGATCCGCCCGCCTCTGCCTCCCGAGTGCTGGGATTAAAGGCGTGTGCCACCACCGCCCGGCCCAGGAAAGCATCTTTAAGGAAGGCCTGCATGAACAGAACTTGGCCTCATTATCTCAGAACTGTAACTAGCCCAGTAGGCTGGACCAACTTTCCTATAACATACCTGCCACTCAGAAAGCCATACCACCCCAGCCTCATCCGGGGACTCTAGAACTGAAAGTCTCCAGGGTCTGTGTCCTCAGACCTCTGCACAGCCTGCCTGTTGAGCCACCTACGCCTGTGCTAGGTAAGGGATGTGAAACTATCCCCTGTACAACCTCTGAGCTCCCACCTCGGAAACGGAGCCCCAAGGAGGATAAGCACCTGCACAAACCCAGGCACAGCACTGTTTGACTCTCGGTCCTGATGTCAGACAGGAAGCTGGCCAAAGAAAAAGCAAGCAGTGAATATCTTCATACCGTCCAACAAGTCCACCCTCACTCTTGCCACTGGATATGCAAGAGATAAAAAAAAAAAAAAAAACAAAGGCCAGGTATGATGGAGCATACCTGTAATCCCCAACTTGGAAGCTAAGCAAGACAAGTTCAAGGCCAGCCAAGGCTACATAGGAAGATCCTGTCTCAAAAGTAAGCAAAAATATACAATAACAATGAACACAAAAAAGAGACAAAAAGAAGAAAGAAGAAAATGAGGAGGAGTAAGGCAAAAATGGGGGGCAGAGACAGTAGATTATAACACCAGACAGATCCTGTGTCTTACATCAGCCCTAGGTGGGGCATAGGGTGGAGGCGGGGTTGGTCAGCCAGGTAACTAGCTGAGTTTGAATGGGGTAAGGGAGGGCATGGTTTGGAGACAGGGCTGGCTGCAGACACTGAGGCTCATTGGGCTGCTGTTGACTGGGGGTGCTCAGAGCCTCCTGAGGGACGCTAGTGAGAGAAGGTAGCAGTATCTGCTGTGGGTTGAACACACCAGTGTGCACCATCTTTCTGGGACAAAAGATTGCAAGATGTGTCTTTCATGTTCTCTTTGCTGTCCTCCATGCCATGTGGCTGGAATGTGTATGTATGTGTGCGTGCGTGCCTCTGTGCTAGAGACCAAACTCAGGAGTAAGCGAAGCACATACTCTTCCCCGAGCTGCATCCTCAGCCCACATCCTCTTTTCTTCCCCTACTTATGAACATGGGGGGGGGGTGGCGCTGGAGAGATGGCAGCTGCCAATACCGCAGTTGGAAGGCTCACAACCACCAGTAATACCAGCTCCAGGGGATTCCAATACCTCTGGCCTCCTTGAGTATACATACTGTATTCATGTGCACATACCCCCATACACACATACACATACAATAAAAATAATACAAATCTGAGGATGTGGTGGGATATGCGTTTAATAATAGCATTCATGAAGGCAGAGGCAGGTGGATTTCGGTGAGTTTGAGGCCAGCCTGGCCTACATAGTGAGTTTTAGGCTATTCAGGGCTACACAATGTGACCCTATCTCAATAAATAGATACGTATGTAAAAACAAAGAAAAAGAGACCACGAGGTTGAGAGGAAGCAAGGTGGTGGATAATAAAGGGAAGGAAGGGGTGAGAGAAAAAAAGGGAAGGGAAGAAAGTGACATCATTATAGTTTAACTTAGGAAATAAATGCTATTTTAAATAAATAAGAATCTCTTTTGAAAAAGAAAAGGACTATTTTTTGAACACAGTGCTTGCCTAGCATACAGTAGGCCTCAGGTTCAATTCCTAGAACCATAAAACCAGGCCTGGTGTCACATGCCTGTAATCCCAGCATTCCTTACAGGCAGGAGGATCAGAAGTTCAAAGTCATCCTTAGCTACACAGTAAATTCAAGGATAGCCTGTACAAAACAAACAAACAAACGAATAAATAAATCTGTCTAATATGTATTATTGACAGAGTCAGAATATACCTAAATTTGTTGAAGATTTTTTAAACAGGACACTGCCCTACTTTAATCGAGTCTAACTGGGTTTGAGGCAAGAGAGGAACATGACCTTGGAAAAAAGCTGAGGCCCCTTTCTGACAGGGCAAAACACTTGGCATGGAGCAAAGTGATAGTGAGAGGTGGCAGAGGATGCCAAAGAAAACATCCAAGGGTAGTGGAGCGGGGGAGGGGCTGCCTGGGGAATCTGGGGACCGCCCTTCCGAGGTGTAAAGGGGTGTGGCTCCGCTGGAGCAGAGGGCTAAGGGACCGCGGGACTCCTCACCCCTAAACCCTTTCTCTTGCAAATGCCTTTCTCTAGTACACCCCACCCCTCCTGAAGATTAGCCTGCCCCAAGCTCAATTGTGGAGGTCTTTGCTTCACCTGGACCGAGCGATTTACCATCCTAGAGGATCGCCCTGGGGGAAGACTGCCCGGCAGGCTGCTGGTGCATCTACCCTGTGCAGGGGATCACTAAGGAAAAAAGTGCAGCACACACAGCTCCAGTTTCACAATACAGCTCTCACTGATTCCCATAACTCAAGCTTCAAGGAAAACCCCAGATAAATATTCTGAGCTTCTTTTTTTGGTCGGGTATAGGGAGGAGGGATAGGGTGTTCACCACATTTTCCAACCATTTCTCCGAAGGACAAATCCAAATGCACACGGTTTGGGGGTCGGTGTGTTTCCCCCCTTCCTAGAGAGGGCCCTTTAAGTTAGACTCTGACTCAGCTTGAGGTCGTCGTAGGGCTGCACCCTGCTCAGGGCAGGCAGTGCGGAGTCCCTGCCAGTGTTTTTTTGTGGGGGGAAAAAAGATTTTTGGCTTGGGATGCTTCTCAGCTGTAGAATCCTGGTCTAGCAAAGGTAAGGTTTGAAGTTTGATCCTTAGTCCCTCAAAACAAACAAACAAAAAACAAGGGCACGGTGGTGCATGCCTTTAGTCCCAGCACAAAACCAAACTGAAGCAAAAAAATCTCAAAAAACTAACCCCAAACAACAAACAACATCAAGTTTCAGTGTGGACATCAGTCATGCAGGTAAGGGTCTCCTCAGTGGAGGCAAAGAGCGGTTGTTGGTTCCTCTCTGTCAGGGAACCAGGGGTTCTGGGCCTGGAGCAGGCAGAACCTGAGACCCTTCCTCTACAATTCCACTGCTTGGGTACCCGAGGTGGGCTAGGGGTGCAGAGCGGGCCTGCTGCGCAGGCAAGGGGTCATCTCGGTAGGAGCAGGATGCGTGTGAAGTGAAGAACCACATTTCCCTCTCTGTGACAGTGACCACTTTCTGAATTTAGCAAGCCTGCTCCTGTCTTGGCTGGCACCACAGAGATTAAGCAGGAAGTGGTGGCCAGAGGACGTGGGCTATGCAGCCCCCTCCCCCACCAGATTACCCCTCTGCCCTTTTCGTCTACCTTTGAGACCACAAGGTGGCCTTTCCCCCAGTCCAAGGGAGGCCCCTTCCAGGACTCAGCTTATGTGGGTGCGTGTGGTATGTGTGTGTGTGGTATACGTGTGTGTGGTATACGTGTGTGTGGTACGTGTGTGCATGTAGTATTTGTGTGTGTGTGGTGTGTGTGGCTGTGTGTGTGTGTGTCCATGTATGTGTGTGTGTAGCTGCAGTTGGGGCCAGTATGGCTTTGGAGTCAGTCTTCCACGGTGGTGGGGCTGCAATGTCCAGGCCTCATACCTTGTTTAGAGCAGCAGGACCCCAGCCAGTTGAGGAGCCCAGCCCCTCGTGCACAAACACGAATCCAGGCTGGGAAACCACAGTGGGAAAGAGATCCAGGAAACCTCAGCCAAGGACTCAGAAGAGAGCGGCAGAGGGTGAAGAACAGGACGTGCCTGGACCCAATACTGACAAGCAAAGGCGGTACTGTCCCCCGGTCCCATTGCCAGCAAGGCCTTAGCTTCCACTTCCTGGGTCTCTCCCCAGAGTCTGGTGATGGGCCTCTTCCCAGAAACTCATTGTGGCATATCTCATTCCTGCCCTCCCCCAAATCAGGATCCAGGTATGAAAGGGTCACGAGGCTCGTCACCCAGTGGACAACAGGCAGGTGGCATCTCTGGTTCTGCTCCATTTAGTTATGATCTCAGGTCTCCTGGGTCAAGTGGAACTCATTTGCAAGTTTTTGTCAAAGGAGACAAAAGGGAACATGGGTGGACATTTCCCGGGAACTTCATCCTTCAGGAAATCCCCTGCTAGTTAATGCCAAGGGGGTAAGCTGGGTTACTAACGCTAAAGGGTGGAAGAGAGAAGGGAGTTCCCAGGAAGCCGCTTTCTCTAACCCAGCAGCAGTTTCTCCCTACCTCATGACCAAGGATGTAGCCTTACACTGGAATCTTTAGATGGAACCCTTTCCTCAGAGCCTGCCAGGCAGAAGGGAACAGTAGACTTTCCAGGGCAGGAGGACTCTGTGGAAGCAGGTCCAGCCAGGCTCTGGGCAGCTGCTAGGGACTGGGGAGAACTGAGGCTGGCCCAGGGACACCGAGGAAGGAGGATGACGAGGATGCACGGGCAGTGGCTCTCTAAGTCACATTGCTGAGGCCCAGGGCTCATCCGGCAGTGTCTGCATACCTGCTCAGCAGCACCAGGATGCCAGGACTACCTCCTCTGTTTCTGCCCTTGACATCATGGGCCCTGGCTGGTGGCTACCCTGGGGATCGTGCATTCAGCTCAGTCTCTAAGGTCTGGAGGCCCAGCCTAGCTTGACAACTGACCCCAGGAGACTCCTTCGCCAGTGCCGCTCCTGTTACATGTGGAGCACACGTGCTGACGACGAGCTCTAGAACCAATCTAGTTACAGACCCAGGCTGCATGGATCACTAGATTGCCCGCAGTGAGAGGTGGGCCACGAGT